CCCCACCATCTCATATTTGTAAGTTCACCAAATGTCCATTGAGAGTAGTTGAACTAGTACTTGCCGGTCAAATCAAGGAACAAGCTGGGGCCAGGCTGGTCAACTCAATTAATAGTATTGCTAGGATAGTCACAGGTTTCCAGGTAGGAGGTTTCATTAATTCATTATTAATTCATTGATTCATTCTTTCATCCTTTCGATCATTTATCCATCCTTGCATCTATTCATTAATTCATTCATTCATTCCATTATTTCATCTTTTAATGTTCCCATGCATTCATTTATTTTTAACTATTGTGCACTTTATCATCTTTCATGGTCAGTTCTAACTCAATTTCATTATAGCAGGGCCATGAAGATCAATTTGTTCCCTACTTTTCTCAAAAAAAAATTTGGATATTCATATTCCAGAGCAATATGTTGTTCAATGTCCCTATCTCTGAAATCTCATGGTGTAAACCTTTTGTAGTTTAAACTGAAAATATTTTTAGATAGAATTTGTAGCGATTTTTTATTTTAGTGTAATGCAAATAATTTTTTTTTTAAACCTTCACATCATATTCACACAAGGTTGCATAAATATTATTGAACATAAAACAAAGCAATTGATTAGTGTAGATAATTTCACCTAAAAAGTTGATTTGCAAGATATTGGTAAAACTATTAAATACAACATCAAGTTCACATATATACAAGGTTGCATAGATGTCGTCTTCCTGGTCCACCATTTTTATGTGCAGGGAGGATCATAATAGGAAGACGACATATATACAAGGTTACATAAATGTCGTCTTCCTGTTCCACCGTTTTTATGTACAGGGAGGATCATAATATGAAGACGACATATATACAAGGTTGCATAGATGTCGTCTTCCTGTTTCACCGTTTTTATGTACAGGGAGGATCATAATAGTAAGACGACATATATACAAGGTTGCATAGAGGTCGTCTTCCTGTTCCACCATTTTTATGTACAGGAAGAACCATAATAGGAATACGACTTCTAGACTAAAGTTATGACTTTGAATAGTTTCATGAACATGAGACACAGCAATTGTGCAGTGTACGACGTCCCATTTCACTTAAAAATGATTTAATAAGTTACCAGTAAATCTATTTGCTTTTTAAATCAAATCCACTATATTATAACTGTCGTCTTCCTATTCCACAGTTTTATGGGTTCTTATGTACAGTGGTCAGCGTTTTAATCAATACAACGAATTTTCAATTTAAGATTTGATTTCCAACAATATTTTTTCAAATTAGTTTACAAAGAGAACCTGTTAGTTGACAGCTTATCTTTGTGTTCATGTTGATGTGTATACTAGTCATGCTGTTTAAAAACTTGGTAAAAAAAATTAAATCTAACTCAAAAGTCGTCTTCAATATATTGATAAATACGACGACGACTCTATTTATTACAGTGTGGAGTACCTGGTCTAGTGGTTCAAGGTGTTCCTGTCTCACAGAGGAACTTTCTCAAGCTGACCTGCAGCTGGCCTAGTTCAGATACTCACCCAGATAGGTACAGATTATAATGGGTGTATACTCACATAGATAGGTACAGATTAAAGGAGGTTTATACTCACACAGATAGGTAGAGATTAAATGGGTTGAATACTCACACAGATAGGTACAGATTAAATGGGGTGAATACTCACACAGATAGGTACAGATTAAAGGGGGTGTATACTCACACAGATAGGTACAGATTAAAGGGGGTGTATACTCAAACAGATAGGTACAGATTAAAGGGGGTGTACACTCACTCAGATAGGTACAGATTAAAGGGGGTGTATACTCACACAGATAGGCACAGATTAAAGGGGGTTTATCATTTTTCTTAGTATTCCCTCTTAGGTGATCCTCCATGAAAAGATAGCACATCATACAATGATACTCTTGAAACCTTATCTGAACAAAATGTTGAGTAGAACTTCGTTTTTCTCACTCAAAAAGTGTTTAATGCTTATAATTTCTCCATTGCTTCTTATAAACAAGAAATGCGCAAGTTACTTTTGCAGAGAAACCATAAATAAAATTAACAGTTTAAAGAAACAAAAACATGTATATCTAATTCATTCTTGGATAAACAAAGGGTACTCTAGTAAATCGGACATTGACGTCTTTGCATGGAGAGTCACTTGAAATTACTCTTACATTCCGTTTAAACTGAATTGACAGCCATTACATTACTGAAAAAGGATTTTGGAAAATTTCCCTAATACTCGGGCATTTGGAAATTTCCTCAGCTACCACGGTTTTTGGGGTTTCCTCAATATCCGGTCCAATTTTGTTATTTTTGATAATTCCTGTTACTTAGAGCTGTTGATTGCTCTGAGAAAAATATCAGCTTCTCTTCTGGAACTTTTGGTAAGTAAAAAAGATCTTTTTAAAATAGATAAACTCATTAATACATTTTTTTTGAAATAAGCATAATTTACCTCCGATCAATTTGATTAAATTATATAGATAGACTTAACATTATAAAATGAAAGTTTTGCTTGAGAATTTAGGAAAACAACTTTGAAAACAACTTTGAAAACAACTTTGAAAACAACTTTAAAAACAACTTTGAAAATAACTTTGAAAACAACTTTGAAAACAACTTTGAAAACAACTTGGAAAGCAACTTTAAAAACAACTTTTAAAACATCTTTGAAAACAACTTTGAAAACAACTTTGAAAACAACTTTTAAAACATCTTTGAAAACAACTTTGAAAACAACTTTGAAAACAACTTTAAAAACAACTTTGAAAATAACTTTGAAAACAACTTTGAAAACAACTTGGAAAACAACTTGGAAAGCAACTTTAAAAACAACTTTGAAAACAACTTTGAAAACAACTTTGAAAACAACTTTGAAAACAACTTGGAAAGCAACTTTAAAAACAACTTTTAAAACATCTTTGAAAACAACTTTGAAAAATTGTTTCCTTTTACATTAGCCAAAATCAGTTGTTTGTTTAAGTATGATCAAATAATATTTCTCTGGAGGTGAAAACTTTAGTGTTGCAAATCTCAGGATCAATTTTGTGCAGACCTAGGGATCAATTTTGTGCAGACCTAGGGATCAATTTGATTCCTCATGGATATTCCGTTGTGATTGCAAACCTGTAGAGTGCAGGGCAAACTAAAGAGAAGGGATCAATTTGATTCCTTATGGATATTCCGTTGTGATTGCAAACCTGCAGAGTGCAGAATGAAGGGATAACTAAAGAGAAGGGATCAATCACTTTTCTCTTAAATTATTTTTTCTATTAGGTTCAATCCAGCTTCCTTCATCTTTGCCTTATCAGCTGGCACAGCTTGACAGGTATTAGCAGAATCATCAATAAGTTAATAGCGATAGCGATAGCGATAGCGATAGCGATAGCGATAGCGATAGCGATTGCGATTGCGATTGCGATTGCGATTGCGATTGCGATTGCGATAGCGATTGCGATTGCGATAGCGATAGCGATAGCAAAATCATCAACAAGTTCATTCATATAGCAATAGGGAAAGCGATAGCCATAGCCATAGCCATATCCATAGCCATAGCCATAGCCATAGAAATTTTATGCAAATATGTTTTTTAGAGAATTAAGTGTGATGAAGACAGTTGTAATCTCAGGGTTCAATTCTGATACACTCTTTCCCCAGGTACAAATTTGTTTTCTGGAAAGTTCTGTAAGAAAAACTTTATGTTTAATATTCATTTCTCTAGGTTGGAGTTATTTCTGGTGTGGTTTCAAGTTCTATCCTGGGAGCAACTATACCAAACATAGAGCCCTTTGATCTTAAAGGTACCCATTTTTAGAGCAAAATCTTAGAATTTCAAACATTTCTGAGTCAAAATCATTCTCACCATTTCCCCAATCTGAAAATTCGATCCCCTTTTTCAATTATATTGGTGTTGATATTTTTATTATCATGATTATATTCTTTTCTATCATTTTGACTGTTTTAGTTATGTCACTTTATTTTAGAGCCAGTTCATGTTATGTTGAGAAGAGTTAAAGCTGGGGCAGGTCAGCTTAAACCTGTTTGGTGGGATACAAGTGCTAACAAGGGTAAATATAAATGTTACATGGGGGTATAAAATCGAAAATTATATTTATTTCTATAAAGTTGGTTTCAAATAAGTGTGGTGTATTTTTGATGAAATGTATATGTAATTGATGTTATATTAAACCTCAAAGACCTTAAAATGCTTAAAGACCAAGGATATTATAATTTATAGAGTGAATTTTGTATGATATAGGCTACATAGGCTAGAACTACACTGCATATTTGATTATTATACTAAAGACAGGTTAGGTAATGAACTCCTTATGACATATATTTGTAAATCGATGTAAGTTTACAGTCCAGGCGATAGTATATCATCTCCCTCCAACTCCTAAAAAAGCCCTACTCTAACTCCTTGTCTGTATTCAGGCTTGGGAGGCTGGAGTTCTCACCACTGTACAACCAAGGAAGAAAGGAATGACGGAATTTTGTTTACCTGTTCACATCTTGGATACTATACCCTCATTCTTCAATCAGGTTAGGACTATTTTATTTGATTTGGTTTGATTTGATTTGATTTGATTTGATTTGATTTGATTTGATTTGATTTGATTTGATTTGATTTGATTTGATTTGATTTGATTTGATTTGATTTCAATTAATGAATGTGCAATTAACAAATGCAGTATTTGGTACAAGTTTTCTGTGATAAAAATATCATTCTCATTTGTCCAAATAGATTTGATAAAGTAAATCATGGCACCTGTAACTATGAATTTAAGTAAAACGAGCTGCATTGATTTAAAGCAGTGAAGTTCATTTCATGTTTGGTGATAACTGTGTACTAAAACTTGAAGATCAAACAGTTTTTTAAAACTATCTTTGTATATATTTGTAGTGTTCCTGAATATGACAAGGAGCACTGCGTTTATGGATAAATATGATGGAAATGTACTTTTATCAGAGAGAGGGATTGTTTTATTTGAACATTGCTTGGTTTTCACTCTTTTGCTCATTATTCAGTGAAAATTTTGAACAATATTCTCACTTATGGTTTTATAGTTCTAAATTGCAATTATGGATCTGTTTTTGACAGACAACCGATTAATCACGATCACCATCGATCATGGATACATTTTCCAATGGCTGGCTTGTCCTTTAAAAACAATAATAATGTTTAAAACCAACCTTTAAATGTTTAGTTGATGGAGTGTCTGAAACTGCCACACCTCTAGCTGAATACCTATCTGTCTATCTTGGTTCCATCCTGGGCCTGATTAGCATATCCTTAACTGTATTCATCTACTCCTTGTTCTCTTCCTCGATCCTGCTCTCCTCTAGCTACAAGCAGGCTCTAGTCAATCTTTGGCTATCTATCATCTTATTTCTAGGTAAAAACAGCATAAAAGCCTATAGAAAACGCTGGTTTTAGTTTTTTTTCTTAAGTAATGGTGATTAGTTTGGATTTTGTGAATGGAAAACAGTTGTGTTTGCTGGATTTTAGGCTTCGCTTTGATATTTTGCCTTAGTTCTTTGATGCAAAAAAACTTTTCCAAGGATTGTTAGAAATGGTTAATCAACAGTTTTAAGAAATTTGTTTTGATTTAGTCTTCTACTGTATATCTGGTGAAATGGAGGAGCAAGTGTACTGCGCTCTTACAGGAATGCTGTTGCACTACACTACTCTGACATCATTCTTCTGGTTGGCTCTTACATCAGCAGTTATACACAGGTTATACAATGGTTTTTTTAACAGCTTTTTCCCATCTTATCAGTGTCATAACTCCATTTTTTTTACAGTAAGGTGACAGGGCCTGAGGCACAGCAGGAAGAAATGGAAAACGTTTATGGAGAAATTGCAAACAGGGTAAGTTACTGAAAAGGCTTTCAGTTTTTATGAGAATGGTGGTGTCAGTTTTCCAAACTAGATACAGATTTTTGAGAAAAGCCTTTACATTTTCCCATGTATACATCTTGATACATTAATGTCTACTGTTCCTTACCTTATCTTCAGATCATTACAACTATTTCTCTTTAGGATGAAAGTATGGGACGGATAGTTGTCAGAAAATCTTCAATCTCTAAGTACTATCTAATTGGTAGGGATGCATATTGATCATAGTAAACAAATGATGTAAATGATACATGTTGCAATTCCATCTTTTAATAGCTCTATTAGCTCCAATGCAAAGTACAGAAAATATTTTTTTTAAATAAAGAAATTCGCAAGACACCTGTGCCGATTCTTTTGGTAAAGCATCAGAATTGGTTTAGTTTTAATTCTAATTCCAAAAATAGAGAATAAATTAATTAATCCCATAAATAAACACTAGGATGGTGTGTTCCCTTGTTTATATGTGGAATTACGGCAGGTGCTAGTTTCAACCAGTACACTTCTCAAGGTAATAACTCATCATAAACATGAGCTGAACATTTTTGGTAGAATATCAAGTTAAGCCTAGGACAGCACAGTAACTAGTTTTTCATGGAACAATCACAAAAACAAAGACCAACATTTTCGGACAGGAATCTGCCTGATTGTTGTTTATTTCTGGACAGGAATCTGCTGATTTTTGTTAATTTCTGGACAGGAATCTGCCTGATTTTTGTTAATTTCTGGACAGGAATTTGCCTGATTGTTGTTAATTTCTGGACAGGAATCTGACTGATTGTTGTTAATTTCTTGTCAGGAATCTGCCTGATTGTTGTTAATTTAAAGACAGTTTTTTTATGCCATACAAACTATCCTGTTCTAATATGTGAAAATAAAATCAAACAAACCTTTCCCTCTCCATTGTTCTTTGGGTACTTTGAACATGTCTTTTTTTCATTAAATGGAATTGAAAATAATTTGTATAGGATTTTATTATTGCGGTTTGGGGTAACTTCCTCTTTACATAAAGTGTTAAGGAATAACCTAACCCTGTTATTTTCCGCAAACACTCCCTTTTGTATAGGAACATGTTATCTGAGCCTGGAGGTTTCTGCTGGATCCATCCTAGCTCCTGTACTAGTCAGCTTATCTGTCTATACATACTATACAGTACACATGTACACTTGTAGGTTAGTATGCTATACAGTGCATGTACACTAGAATGTTAGTATACTTTACAGTAAAAAGTGCATTTTTAGATTAGTATACTTTCTTGGGTAAGGAGTCTCTGCTGTAAATTTCAGCCTGATTGATCTAAAACTTATAAACCTGACCAACCTGGCACACACAGTTTTAATATAACTGCACTTTTAGCAAAACCTAGCCTTGGATAGGGAAAGGGTCCACTGCAAATTTCTGGCTCATGGCACAACAAATCTAGAGACAGTGACAAAAACCCTAGGTTTGTTGTGCCATCAGATTTAAATTTGCAAGAGTCTCTCTCCCTACCCAAGGCTAGGTTTTGTTAAAATTGAAGCCATATCGGTTAAAAAACTGAAGGGTCAGTGATCAAAAACCATGTCGGACAAACCAACAAGGCTCAGTTACATTTGCCATAATACTTTTGCCATAAATACATTTTCCATAATTACACTTGTCATAATTACACTTCCCATAAACACTTTTGCCATAAGTAACACTTGCCATAAGTTACACTTGCCATAATTACTTTAGCCATAATTTTTTAACTTTTACAAAGACATAAATCTTACTATTTTTCCTATAACTGCGTTAAATTTTCTCAGGAAAATTCCCAACTTAAGTTTTCTAGCAATACTGCCAGGAGAGATATGAACACTAATACTGGAAGATAGAGTTTGGTGAAGAATCAATAACAATACAATACTTTTCCAATAGAGCAGTAACTTAACCTTATATGTATACTGCTCATGAACTGTCCCTTATTTAAATTTGTTAATTTTAGTCACAACAGTTATAAATGTAGTTGTTCAATAAAAAAATGAATGGGTGTTGATTATAAGTATTATTAATTGTAATTATGGCAAGTGTAACCATCATGGCAAGTGTTACTTATGGCAAATGTATTATGGAAAGTGTAATAATGGCAACTGTATTTATGGCAAATGTAACTGAGCCACTAACAAGCAGTTTTTGAGACCCAGCACTTGAAGTTTTGAAACTTTAGCAGAGCAGAGCAGGAATAGGGTCCCCTGCAAATTTCAGTTTGATGTCAAGACAAATCTAAGGTATCAACACTAAAAGCAAATTCCAAAACAGGTTTTTGCATTGCGCTAACCATAGATTTACCATGCCATCAGACTAAAATTTCCAGGGAAATCTCGCCCTCAGGGAGTAAGGAATAAAAGGGAGATATAACTGACATGGTTCGCCCTACCATATAATTATGCATGCTTTGAAGACGGTACTCCATGTGTATAAGAAATATTTGTCTGATGTACAATTACCGCGTATACAATAACCTATTCTGAATATTTCTTATACAACTGGAGTACCGTCTGCAAAGCATGTATAATCATATGGTAGGGTGAACCGCGTCAGTTATATCTCCCTTCTATTCCTTACTCCCTGCTCTCCCTACCCAATGCTAGATTTAGTAAAAATTGTACCCATATTAGTAGAAAACTAAAGACAGAGTGACCAAAACAGTGTCTATTGACTAACCAGTCTGTTGGTCAGTTGGCGTAAGTCCCAAATCGGCTGAAATTTTCAGCAAAGACAATCCTTTCACATGTGCTTAATTTGATAAGAATACTATACAGTACATATGTCCATAAGTTAGTCTGTATGCCTTTAGGTCCAAAATGTGTACATAGTAATTTAACAAAAATATATTGTTTAGGTCTAGTACCCGTGTATTTGTTTCTAAGAAGAATGAAGGTTCTAATGATGAAACTCATCTTCCATTGGACCAGGAGAAATCTATTAGGTAAAATTTAAGGAATTGTATCGGTTGGTCAAGATGTATGTTGTTTATGATTGGTAACTACCCAAGAAACATTTTAACTTAACTCTTGAAGGCAAGCATTTGGAGGGGAACTAACGATATAATAAAACGAAAATTTGGTTGTGATCAAATTGCACATTATGCATGCAAAATTGTTTGTACTTCTCAAATTGCTTCCGGTGGAAACCTTAGTCTATAGCAATACTTCTATGGTCCAGAAGCAAGGATTATGAAATAGAATGGAGATACAACTGACCCGGCCCGCCCTACTATATGATTATACATGCTTTGCAGACGGGTACTCTATTTGTATAAGAAATAATTGTCTGATGAACAATTACCGCGTATACAATAACCTATTCTGAATATTTCTTATGCAAATGAAGTACCCGTCTGCAAAGCTTGTATTGTCATATGGTAGGACGGGCCGCGTCAGTTGTATCTCTCTTCTATTTCATACTCCTTGTCCAGAAGTCACCTAATGTTTGCTGGGTAAAGTTTGCTTCAACGAGGAAGGGAACCCCTGGCTATGTTTGCTGGGTAAAGTTTACTTCAATGAGGAAGGGAACCCCTGGCTATGTTTGCTGGGTAAAGTTTACTTCAATGAGGGAGGGAACCCCTGGCTATGTTTGCTGGGTAAAGTTTACTTCAATGAGGGAACCCCTGGCTATGTTTGCTGGGTAAAGTTTACTTCAATGAGGGAGGGAACCTCTGGCTATGTTTGCTGGGTAAAGTTTACTTCAATGAGGGAGGGAACCTCTGGGTACCATGGTCCATGATCCTTCAAGATCAAAAGTTTCTTACGCGAAAAGGAGGATATTTATAGAACAAATTCTGAAGTGAATTGTATTTAAATTGTTTTGTTTTTTTTTGAAAAGTTGTTTAAATTTTAAAACTAATTTTGGACTACAAGATTCATTTAAGTCTTAATTAACGGGTCATACTCATTAATTTGGTTTGGTCTTCTGATATGATGTAACAAAGTAAGATCATAGTTGTCACTAAAAATTCTGAATTTACTAGGATGCATGGCAGTGTTCAATGTTTGTTTACTTTTCTCCTGGTTTGTTTGTTTACAACTGCTGGGGTTAGAAGTTTACTGTCTCCGACACTTGGAAAGGTATAGTTAATGCAATAAAGCTCTTCGCTCATCTGTTTATATAAATATTTATTTGTATATTTATATATTAGATTTAGCCGGCCAAACGGCTGGACCAAATTGACATTTTTTAGGGAACCCATGGGAACCTTGGGAGTAACATAAGCTAAAATATAAATTCCAAATTAAATTTGTTACTTTTTGTTTTTAAAGAAGTAGTTTACTGAATATAAAAATAGGAACAACAAATTTTGAAAATAGGAACAAAAAATCTAAAAATAGAAACAAAAATCTGAAAATAGAAAGCTGACCCCTTGGCAGAGAAAACTGGTATAATATATATATATATATATATGTGTGTGTGTATTATCTATCTATCTATCTATCTATCTATTTATCTATCTAACCATGTATTTATTGTACAGGTTAGCTGGAGATTAGTATGTTCTGTTTTGTTCTGTGCTCTATCTCTCAGTATCTATCTATCTATCTATCTATCTATCTAACCATGTATTTATTGTAAAGGTTAGCTTGAGATTAGTGTGTTCTGTTTTGTTCTGTGCTCTATCTTTCAGTATGTATCTATCTATCTATCTATCTATCTATCTATCTATCTATCTATCTATCTATCTATCTATCTATCTATCTATCTAACCATGTATTTATTGTAAAGGTTAGCTTGAGATTAGTGTGTTCTGTTTTGTTCTGTGCTCTACAGAGCGTCCCATATCATATTAGACTTTCTCCAATCTTTAACGCCAAAATACACATAGAATACTCGAAAAATCTAGCATTTTCTGCAAGAAAAAATTTCTATTAGCCTTATTAAATTTTTCAAAATGATTCATTCTTCTTAAATTTTCTGATTTGTCCCCTAAATCGTAATTTAGACCCATTGACGCGGTCTAATTTGATGTGGGACACCCTGTATCTCTCAGTATGTATATATCTATCTAGCTATCTATCTATCTCTCACTCTCAGCATCTTTCTATCTATCTATCTATCTAACCATGTATATATTGTAAAGGTTAGCTTGAGATTAGTATGTTCTGTGCTGTTCTGTGCTCTATCTCTCTATCTATCTATCTATCTAACCATGTATTGATTGTGCAGGTTAGCTTGAGATTAGTATGTTCTGTTTTGTTCTGTGCTCTATCTCTCAGTATCTATCTAACCATGTATTTATTGTTAAGGTTAGCTTGAGATTAGTATGTTCTGTGCTGTTCTGTGCTCTATCTCTCAGTATGTATATATCTATCTAGCTATCTATCTATCTCTCAGCATCTTTCTATCTATCTATCTATCCAACCATGTATTTATTGTAAAGGTTAGCTTGAGATTAGTATGTTCTGTGTTGTTCTGTGCTCTATCTCTCAGTATTGGAGTTCTAGTTCTCAGGTTCTTATATTTTCACGCAAATTCGTCCCTTTAGTAAAAGTAAATTCAACCTAAATGTAGCATAAAGTCTGACCACGTCAACCTTGTTGCACCGGCTAGTCTTGTCCATAGAGCTAGGTGCAGTACAAACTGGGACCTGACACGGTTTGGAAATTCAAATGTACTACGGCTGCCCGTGTTTTACTATATTTTCTTATTTAAAGGAATGTAAGGTAATTTTAATTAACCCTTCCTGCACAGATGGTAATTCCCAATTTACAACGTTACCCTTGAAACCTAAATATGACAAGAACTGTGGAAGATAACATCGTTACTCCGTCTTTATAAGCAAGAAATATGACAAGAACTGTGGAAGATAACATCGTTACTCCGTCTTTTATAAGCAAGAAATGCGCAAGTCACTTTGCAAAAAAACTACAAATGAAAAAAAACCAGTTAAAAACATAACATAGATTTCAAATTTAGAGAAAGCTTTTAAAGGGTATCGATGTAATTCTGGCAATATTGGGATGTTCGCTTAACATTACGCTGACAGTTCCTTTAAGATCAAATATACAAAAAATATATAAGAAGTTTCATATCATATTCGTATCATGATAATTCATTTATTTAGATAATTTAGAACATGTTTATAGTTTTCAATTTTTTAGTTTCTACGTTTTCTCCCGTAAGGATTTGATGATGAAGTTTACCAAAAGGGAAAGGTAAAATTTTATTTTATTTAAATACCATTATTTATAGATACAATGATTATTTCAGTATTTTTTTCACTAGATTATTTATTTTATTTTTTTTAATCTTACATTCGTTTTTTGTTCACTTTTACATTCTTTTATTCACTTATTCATTCTTTTATTCACTTATTCATTCTTTTATTCACTTATTCATTCTTTTATTCACTTGCTTATTTATTTATTCACTTAATCATAATTTTCTTCCCTTTTTAAATTTTTAACTACTTATTCATTCTCTTTTTCTATCATTCATTTTTATTATTCACGTTTTCATTATGGAGTTATTCACTTATTTATTTATTAATTTTGTTTCTCAATTTGTCATTCCCTTATTCACGTATTCATTCATTTATTACTTACTCACATCTTCATTTATTCATTATGCTGTTTACTTTTTAATAATGTTTATTCACTTATTCATTCTTTCATTCACGTCATTCTCCATTTATTCACATATTCTTTCGTTTATTTACTTACTCATTAATTATGCTGTTAACTTATTTATTCTGTTGTTAACTCATTCATTATTTTATATACTTATTTGTTTAAAAACTTATTTATTTATTTATTTATTTATTTATTTAATTAAGCTCTGACCGAAGAGAAGAGACTACCAACCTTCTCTCCCCGCATCAACTTAGGAAAATACGATCAAGCAATCAATAATTTACTATTTTTGAGTCCTGTCTAAATAATAGGCGTTTAAAGGGTATCGTTGTGAATCGGACAGATATTTCCTTCAGATTGAAACTTCAATCTTTAAACTTCATGATAGGTTCTGGTTTAGGTTTATAAAAATCGCAATTATGCGGACAAAATTGGAAATTTCTCAATTATTAGGAGTTTATAATTTTTTTTTCATGATTATTAATTTTAATTTAACTTATGATTGTGTTTTTTTCTGAAGATATTCTCCTGCGCGGTTTCAGCAGAATATCTTCAACCCAGGAACAGTCGGCAAAGCACCGCCATTTTCCAATATGGCCGCTGCCGGGGACATAAACAAGATGGCGGAGAATAAACAGCAGAACACGTTTTTAAAACTGACAGGTAGTTCAGTGGCATCCTTCTCACTATAATCTCCCTAAAAGGGTCTGATATATTTGGTGCACTGTCCCGTTTAGCCTTATCAAGTCTGTTTATGTACTGTTCAGCTTGCTCTAGCTGTGTAACAGTTGGTCCGGTTCTTGAAATGATCGGGAGTTTACAGTGCTGATCTCTGAAAATTATTTTTTTTTAGGGCTTACACTCTGTTCTTCATTTTATCACTATTTTTTTAAACCCGATACAAAATTGCCCCGGTTCTTCTCATTCTAGACTTTTAACATTTAATGGGATTTTTTTAAATCATCCCTAATGATATAAAAGAAATAATATCCCGCTAAATTTTCAAAATTATCCAATATTTTTTTAACAAAATAAGCTTCTGATTTTATTTATTTTATGTTTTTCTTTAGGCCAATTTATGAATAACAAATCAGAGGCTGAACCTTATGATGTTTTCTCGGTCAAAAATACGGGCGGATCGGTAATAGGTAGGTTTATTTCCCTCCAAAACTTCAAACAAAATTTATTTATCAAAATATTTGTTTAAAGAGGAATCGGAACTTTATGGGACAACAGAAAAGAAAGTTGAAGAGTGAATTAATCAAATCTATAAATATACTTTGCTTGTTATTCTGTCTGTTTGTTTGTATCCAATAGACGTAAAAACGGATAAACTGATCGGGCATACAACAAATTTTGAGGCAACTTATATGACCCCAGAAAAAAAAACTTTATGGCTAATCGAAGTTGAACAATTTTGCACTTAAAAAATGTCGAAATTTATTATTTTTAAATTGCACCAATATTCAAACAGAAAAAAATCGCGAAAATTTGAGAACGATTAGAAATGGCGACTTCCAGAATTCAAAGTTAAACAAAATATATTGAGGGTCCATTGTTTAGGGTATATTGCTCCAAACAATAGCGCCGGTCCCTCTGATCTGGATTGTCTGCAAGTTTCAGAGTTTGGATACAAACCTAAGGTAAACAATGAAAAAGGGTGTCTCAATAAACTTGGGAATTAAGTGACTATTTCTAAATCTTCATTGTTCATGAGAACACGATTTTAGTACAGTGATAACCAGAAAACTCTGAAATAGTAAGACGACTTTAGAATCAAGTTTTAACTTTTAAAAGTTTAATGACGACAGTGTTGAAAGACTTATTTCACAAAATATGTGATTTTATAAGTGTCTGGTAAAACCATTTGCTTTGTAACACCATCAAATACAGTTAAGTATTGCTATACTGTCGTCTTCCTATTCCATTGTTATCTGGCTGATTACTGTAGTATCCCAGTTAAATAAAGTTAGCATTTGAAACCATTTTTTCTTCTTTAGAATTGATTTAGAGAAATCTGTTCCAATTTCTTCATATTCTCCCTTTTTTTTTGAATCTCTTAAATCAAAATCTACACAAATGTTAAAACCCCAAAAATAAAACTCGGGAGTTTCGTTTAACGATACTCTTTTAAATTTTGGGCTCTTAGAATATTAATTTTAAAACAGGGGGCGGAAACGTCATGTGTGTGTGTGTCTGTACCAAAAGAGTGTGTGTCAGTTTACTGTACCAAAGGTTTGTACTGTAGGTTTATACAGTACGTAAGAATCTCGGGATTTGTACAGTCTAGGAGAGTACATTTGTTTATTGTTAATTGTTTACTTAAACATATGTTTAATATACATGTAATATATTATTTACATATTTAAGTCAACACTATAAAGCCAAATTTTCATGCAAAGAATATAATTTTATTAAAGTTTACAATAAACTACTCGTTATTCAAATTTAATTATAATCGACGACATTGTTCTACAATTTCCTTGACTGTAGTCATGTTGTGTGTCTGTACCAGAAGAGTGTGTGTCAGTTTGCTGTACTGGTCTGGAAAGCAGTGCGACTGGCTTTCTCTTGCCGGACCAGCGCCATTTCCTTTCCCTTTATTCCTGTTCCCTGTTTTAAAGTTATACAACTATACTGCACGTGTACAAATGTACTTGAGTGTACAAGTATACATGTTTAGGTAAAGAATGTGAACCTGTTGGTGGATAGGGAGAAAAGTATTGGGAAATCAGTCTGGAATCAGGTTATTATTAATTATTATCTATCTGTCTACCTATTAGTATATCATCTGTCTATCTATCTGTCTATCTATCTGTCTATCTATCTGTCTATCTATCTGTCTATCTATCTGTTTATCATAGGGGGGATGATAGTTCTTCTACGTGTGTGCTCAATTAGCTGTACTGTACACTTACAACTGTTTACTAATAATGATATACTGTAGGTTAGGCCAGAATCTTCTTATAATAAACAAATATGCAGTACGCTCTCGGTATAGTTTATGGCCTATTAAATTAGTAAAGGATTAGCGTACATCATCACTTTATACACTATAACCTCGTTGGTTTATCAGCTGTCCGTCTATGTTTTATCTCTCCGTCTATCAATATTTATTCTTGGAAATATATTATTTTCCATTTTTATACTTGAAATACTAGTATATGCAGTGTATACTGGATCCATGCATTATGTAAATCATTATTTTTATTTTTAAAGGAAAACCTTGAGATGATGGCCATGGATAACAGGTGGGAGGAGGTGGAGGAGTTGGATGAAGAGGAGGATAGATGGAGTAGAGCAGATCAGAGGTACTCTCATTTACATTATTATTTTTGGTGTCATCTTCAATATAATTATCATTTTTGTTGTCACGTTCATTATTATAGTGGTTTTCATCTTCAATAACATTGTCAATATCATTATCATATTTGTTGTTAACTTCAATATCATTGTTAATATCGCTATCGTTATTGTTGTCATAGACGTTATTTTTATCGTTATTGTCGTTATTGTTATTGTTATCATTATTGTTATTGTTATTGTTGTCATAGACGTTATTTTTATCGTTATTGTCGTTATTGTTATTGTTATCATTATCATTATCATTATCATTATCATCATCATTATTATAATTTTATAATAAAGTATTATTTAAGAAATCCTGACCAAGACCTTGATTACTTTTTCAATCAAAACCAAAGGTAAAATTTAGATTTTTCTTTCTACATACTTTATATACTTTTTTCTCTTTCTTTGACAATAAACTATTTAGTGAACTAAGCCCGTCATTACCTCCACCTATCTTCTCTCCAAGCCCCTTCCCTGGTAGTTCAACTGGAATAGTGTTAGACTCACAATACAACCTTGGAGAACGCCATCCCTCTTCTAGGGATCCATTTCCAACCAGTCTTCCAAACAAACGGAGGTCAAAGTCAAGAGATAGGTCAGTAGAAGAGCTTCCAATCTTGTCTTATGGATTCTTTCCTGAAGCTGTAAAGAATGCCAAAATATTAAATATTTTGAAGGGACTGTAAGTGTAATTTCAAGTGGCCTTCCATGCTAAAAATTGCCATGCCAGATTTACAACGGTACTGATAAACGCTTTGACTGGCCAAGGATGTCGGACTCATCCTTGTAAATATACACAAATGCTTGTAATTGTTGAACACTTGTTTCGCAAGCTGTTTTATATTTAAGAAATATTAATAATTACTTTCTAAAACCGGTTGTGAGCTAGAAATATGATTTCGTGGCATTCTTGTAACGTCAGTTAACAATTGAGTTCACACTGTACGCTAGCGACTCGATGATCAGTCTCAAGGCTAAAATGCAAGGAAAGTTATTTCAGAAGTATACGAAAACTGCTGCATATATTCTTGTTTACAAATTCCGCCCAGAGAAAACTGGTTTCAATATATACGCAGAGTATTCGCAACTGCAATTAACTTTCCTTGCATTATAACCTTGATCAGTCTAATGTTAAAAAGGTACCGTTGTAAATCGGATATTGTCATTTTTGCATGGAGGGTCATTTGAAATAACGCGTACAGTCCCTTGAAGTCAAATTTTTCCACAAAATAAACTACACAGAAAGATTTAATCTTAATGATACAGTGAGAGCCAGAAAACTAAGAAATAAGAACCCGACATTAAAAAATACTTAAGTACGTGTATTTTCTGTTTGTACAAGGCAAATTGTTATACAACACTCCTGTATGCCGAGTCCATTAGCGCCTGATCCAATCAGGGTTCAGTCTTGTGTTTGTCGTCTATTCTGAACCAATTGAAATTGCATGGCGGTAACATCTATCTTTCTATCTATCTCATTACCAAATCAGAGTTATGAATCCTTCAATCGGTGCTATCAGTAAATGGAAATATTTACTTCTACTGAAACTATAGCTGCATAATTACTGTGTTTAATGTTCTTTTGTCTATTTTAAATCATAACTTGAGTCTAAACGTCTTATTCTTCCAGAGTTTTCTTGCTCTCACAGTTCGTTATTTTTTTAATTATATCATATTTTCTTTGAAGGTCTGGATTCTTGAAGTCTGGTGTTTCAGACTTAGACAGAACAGATGTTGCTTCAAGGTGATTGAACGTCGTCTTCTTTAATTTTCTAACTTTTAACGTATTCCCCCATTTAAAGACTTCAACGCCTGATTCACAACATTGCCCTTTAAACTTTTTTGTGTGCAACAATGAGAAGAAATCTGGAAAATGTTAAATTTTGGCAATTTTCATTTTGTCTCTGCTGCATAAATCCACAAGTAATTTTTTAAGAGAACCCATGCAATAGGAAATTATCAGATGAAAAAACATGAATTGTATCATCATTTTTGCACAGAAGAAGGTTTAAACGGTACCATTGGGAATTAAAAATGCCCCTCTTTAAAAATTTTGTAGACTGTCCCTTTTAAATCCCATTTTTTTTCAATTATAAAACATGTGTTCTCATCTTTATTTTAAAAAATATATTCTTTAATTTTAAGAGGAAATTATAAATTTTCTGAAATAAAATTTAATAAAAATATCAATGTTTGCTTTAACTTAATTGGTACAGTATTCTTGTCTGCAATACAATTAGTACAGGCCTTTTAGAACAATCAAAAACCATTTAAATTTTTATAAATAAATCTTTTAATTCTTTGAAGGTAATTTAAAACAATGAAGCCATTTTTTGCAATATCAATATTAGAATATAACTTTTCTGTAAATTTAAAAAAGAAAGTTTTCTTAATAAATATTTTTAAAGATATTTTTTAAAAATCTTTAAGTTGAACCTTTTTCTCAATCTAAGATGCGAATATATTTGAATACTTTTTTATAAGATGTATCCTCATGTTTTAGATATTCTGAAGTTAGCTCGAGTATGTACAGTACAAGATCCAAAAAGTAAGTTAGAAAATATAAAGACATGGATAAATAGATAGATTGACAGGTTGACAGATAGACAGATAGACCGATGGAAGAAAGAAAGAAAGTCTAAAAGAAAGATCAATTCATTTAAAAGATATACAGATATACAGATATACAGATAGACAGATAGACAGATAGACAGATGTCAGATATACAGATATACAAATATACAGATATACAGATATACTGATACATAGATATACAGATATCAGATAAACAGATATACAGATATACAGATATACAGATATGCAGATATACAGATATACAGATAGACAGATAGACAGATATACAGATATACAGATATACTGATATACAGATATACAGATATACAGATATACAGATATACAGATATACAGATATGCATATATACAGATATACAGATNATTCAGTGATTCAGTGATTCAGTGATTCAGTGATTCAGTGATTCAGTGATTCAGTGATTCAGTGATTCAGTGATTCAGTGATTCAGTGATTCAGTGATTCAGTGATTCAGTGATTCAGTGATTCAGTGATTCAGTGATTCAGTGATTCAGTGATTCAGTGATTCAGTGATTCAGTGATTCAGTGATTCAGTGATTCAGTGATTCAGTGATTCAGTGATTCAGTGATTCAGTGATTCAGTGATTCAGTGATTCAGTGATTCAGTGATTCAGTGATTCAGTGATTCAGTGATTCAGTGATTCAGTGATTCAGTGATTCGTTGATTCAGTGATTCATTTATTATTTTTATAACTATCTGTTTTTTTGCAGGACGCTTCCTTCCAGTCTGAGAATGGCAAACCTGCAGTACGTTACACAAGTACACCCGAGACCCGCCCTCTTCCCACTGCCGGGCGCCCCCCGCAACACCTCCCTGACCCCGGTCAACTCATGGATTCCAGCTCGGAGAATATTCATCTATCACAGTCAGAACTTGGCAGTCGGGAAACTTGTGTTTAAAGGGACTGTTAACATAATTTCTTGTGACCCGCTAGACAAATATGGCAATGTCCTATTTACAACTGTCCCTAAAAACCTTTATAATTTAGTTTTCAAAATTATAAACATTGATATCTAGTCTTTACTTGATCAGACGAAGCTTTTAATGGTACCGTTGTGACTCGTGCATTGTCATTTTCTCATGGAGCGTCACTTTAAATTGTTTGAAATCAGCATTAAGTAAAAAAGAACACATTTGCCAAAAAATATAAGTTAAGATGAAATTAAAACTTACATCTTTTTAAATTTTAGTATTTTTCAATTTAGGGAAAAAGGAGATTTGTACATTGTTCCTAATGTACATGGTATTCAATATTCATGATGAAAAGTACTCTTAAACCTCACAAAACAAAGGATCTCATTTTATTGTTTATGAATATTTCTGAACTATTTATTGGACAAAGGAATTGAGTTTTTGTAACAAACTCTGATTTTCTAATTTCAATATCGTTGCAACCCAATGTCGTAGACCTTTAATATTTCAAACTATGAATGCTATTAGATCAAATAATGTAAGTTTGAAATATCAAAGGTTTACACCATCAGGTTACAGAGATATAGGTTTTACAAAAACTGAATTTGTGGCAAAGACTCAATTCCTTTTATCAAATATATCCAAAATATCTCGTTACTAATTATTTTTGAAGATTAACAACTTTTCACATTTTAACATTATACACGGGCAGCCGTAGTACATTTAAATTTCCGAGCCGTGTCAGGTTCCAGTTTTTACTATACCTAGCTCTATGGACAGGACTAGTCGGTGTAACAAGGTTGACGTGGTCAGACTTTATGCTTCATAAAGGTTGAATTTACTTTTACTTAAGGGGCAGAGGTGTGTGTATACTGTATTGCTCTGTGTGTTAATTTGGGGTAGTTTAATTAAAAACAAAGTTTTATGTAAGTAATTTATGTAGTATATGTAATGTCACTGTATGTAATATTGTAATATTGTTGTAATATTGTAACTTTTTTTAATAAACCAGTGAAAAGAAAATATATATTTTCTCCGAGAATAAACTTATCAAAGTTTATAAAAAAAATATAATATACAGGGTGTCCCACGAAACATGACAATAGCAAGACGACTTGAAAGTCGTCTTTGATATTTGAATTTATTTGTGACATTTAGTCTTCTATCTACTTTAACATGTATGATTCTTGAATCAATTATCACATAATTCTCCTATCCCTGGCATTTCCAAAAAGTAATCTGCTTTTTTTGTGCTTTCAGTATTACCGGAGATATAAAGAGTTTGGTTCAGATTTCAATTTTGTTAATTTTAATAAATCGTTATTTTTAGTTAAAACATCCTTTTGCTTCATTATCCTTTACTTTGAAATCAATTTTAATATAACATACTCCCATATAATACTTTTATTAATCTTTGGTATCAAACAACTTAACAAATTATGGAAAAAAAACATTCTAAACTATTCACCAACTGTCATGTTTCGTGGGACACCCTGTATTATTGTTAATAGATGTAGAAGTAATCTGTTTTGAATGTCGTCTTTTCTCAAGAAAATCTGGGAAGCAGAACGAAATCAATAACATTGGAAGTCAGCTGATCACTCAGTGTGTCTGTAACCCTTGTGATTAGAGGTTCACACTGAGACCACCGTGACGTAATTATTGTTATTTAACGTTACTTTCCTATTCATGCAGTACAGCAGTTAAGCAAATTTTGTCATTCATATATATATATTTAGATATCTTCCATATTATTTAATATTTAAAAATTATATTATTATCAATATTAATATTAGATTTGATGAGAAAGCACTATAATTATTGACTTTTAAACATTTTTACTCATTAAGTACACTAATTTTCTATGTTTCTTAAATCATGCATGCTTAGTAGGGGGGAGGGGGGTTTAAGCTTTTATATTCTATAGTTTAATAAATTAAAAATGTAGATATAAAAAATTTTAGCATTTATTAAAGTTAAAAAATAAATGAAATTAGATGAATTATAATTATTATTTAAATAAATAAAGTTAATGGTCGACCCTTCATTTAAACAACGAGAGACATGCCCAATGATTCTCAACATTTCCCTTGAAACCTTAATTTTCAATTAGTATGGAGGATAATAAAACCACAAGTAAAAATAATCAGTTTTCAAAAATAAAACCATGGATATCTAATTTATACTTGACCAACCAAGAATGTTAAGGGTACAGTAGTGAATCGGACATGCCATTATCAATCTATCAATTTAATCTTATGTACAGCGACATTGTCATACATTGTCGTAAAAAATGTTAATGATATGAGGGGAGGGGGTTGTAATTCCCACGAAGAATAATTCTCCAGAGGATTATATATAATTTGATCTTGTCTCCCGAAACATGATATTTTCCTCTTAACATAATCCAATATATTATGTATGGTATTAAATACATTTTATGTAATATTAACAGTATAATAGGTGGGAAATGGATGCACTTTATCATCACGGTTTTTAATTATGGAATATTTTTTTTCATAAAAAAACTTTCAAACCTTAGTCTAATATGAATATGTTTTTCAGTTTTCTATAAAATAAAATAACTTGATTTTTTCATGTTTTTAAATTTAAATTCAAAGTTGTTTCAGAATGTGTTTCATGATAAGTTATGTTTTTTATATAAAATTAATTTAGTTTTCACAGGTGTGATGTCTGTAAGATATTCGAATTTTTAAATGAATATTTTTTCTCATTTTTTCGACTATTGTAATTATATTTAGACTTAGTATAAAAGTTGTAAATCATGAAATATTAAACTAGTAATTATTATCATACCTATCTTAGCTTTATTAAAAATTATTCCCCCCCCCTCCCCCACACACACACAATTAAAATATTAAATATTAATATATAAACAAAAGTGTAAACTGCATTTCGTAAGGAATGTGAATACATTTAGAGGCGCTATAATTGGGGAATAAATTCTTTGTTTTCTTGGGCCCCAATGGGGGCTGAGCCCCCTCCCAAGAAAGAAATTCTTGAGTACGCCCCTGAGTACACTGGCATCTTTTGAGATTAATCTGTACTGCAGTTTCTGAGAGAAATGTAAACAAAACGTGTTTACATTTCTATCAGAAACATTTTGCTTTATTTTGAAGTTTTTTTGATTAAAAAAATTAGAAAGTTTTTCAATTTTTGTCTAAAGCTAGATTTTTTTTATGACTTACATGTTCTTTTGTTGTAATTATAAGTGATCCTCTGATTCATAAGGACCCTTTAAACTTGATCAGACAAAGCTTTGGTATGAATCGGTCACTTCAAATTACTTGTACAGTCCCTTTATTAAGAAAAATACACACAACGATCTAAGGATGTGGGGGGGGGGGGTCAGTTAAAGGTGGTAATTATATTCCCCAACTAATTCACTCAGAGATATGGAAACTTTTAATCTTATTCTTGTTCTTTTTCTTTCTTACTTGTTACTGACATACTTAAAGAGAAATTTGTAGTGTTACATGGCCGATTCACAACACTACCTTGTTCAATAATTCGCAAGGTAGTTTGTATTGAAAGTTCCACAATTCGAAATAATCAATTTTTTATAAAAAAAACAGCTAAGCAGAAGAGTTAAAGGGCACTATGCAACTCTTAAAGAATCATCTATAGACCCTTGCTTAGGATCCTGATTCATTTCTTTTTACAGTCGTAGTTTTTATTTTTAAATTTTTAAATACAATACGTCTGGTATTATCCTTAAACAGTATTTGATATAAGACCTTGATTTCAGAAGAAGATGGACAATTTCAAGAAAACGTTAAGTGATGCGTCCACATTTGTTTCCAGAGCTGTCCAGGTGAATTACCCAGCTGTCACATTGATAACAGCTGTTAGATCATCTTTCACATTTATGACAAAGCTGTCAGATCAGATGTCACATTCCTAACAACTCTCACGTTGATAACAGCTGTTAGATCACCTGTTACATTTATAACAGCTGTCAGATCATCTGTCACATTGATACCAGCTGTTAGTTCACCTGTCACATTGCTAACAGTTGTTAAAGTATGTCACATTTATAACAGCTGTTAGTTATGTCACATTGATAATAGCTGTCAGAGTATATGTCACATTGATAACCAAGCTGTAAAATAATCTGTCTTATTGATAACACCTGTCAGATCATCTGTCACAACAGCTGTTATACATAAAGTTAAAATCCATTTTGCTTGCCAGTAAAATAACTTTTTATATAATGTAAAATTGTTGTTTTTCGATCATTTTATTATATAGCTATTCAATTTTAATCTATCTATCTATATTCTTATCTATCTGTCTATCTATCTATCTATCTATCTATCGATCTATCTATCATCGATCTATCTATCCATCTATCTATTCATCTATCTATCTATGTATCTATCCATCTATCCATCTATCTATCTATCTATCTATCTATCTATCTATTGCACGCCCACCAGGACGTACATATACAAGAAGAAGCCTCTGTTGTTTTCAACAGAGCAAAACAGGTTAGTTAATAGTTTTACACCTCACAGCTTAGGCCGCCTAGGCGCAAATAGAGGGGGTTTTATACCCGCTTCCTGACGGCTCTGCTAGAAAGTGAAAAAGGCAAACTTTGAATTGTAGAAGAAAGATTAAAAATTTCGTTTTTTGCAAATATATTGATAACATACCGAAACCCTTTCATTAAGTCAAGTACAAAAAAAATGATTAATTGAATTTGTAAAAATTATTGTGCTTTCATTTTAATAGTTAAAAGCGCCCTTGAAGCTTGGTTATTAGTTTTCATAATTTATTATTTGAATACATTATTAACCATGCCAGGGGATTAATAAACGTTTAATGGGTGGAGAGTGGGGGGGGAGGTATTCCCCCCTTTCATTATTATTTTTATCATTATAAAAGTGGCGACTGCTGGGCCCTTGGTAGGAGACTAACTCTAGCTGCCAAAATTTATAATTATATATTTGTTTATTTTCCCAAATATTCGGTTTAGTTTTCGGAATACATTGTTTAATTTCCGGAATATATTGTTAAGTTTACGAAATATATTATTTAGTTTCCGGAATACTTTGTTTATTTTCCGGAATATTCTGTTTAGTTTCCGTGATATACTGTTTAGTTTCCGAAATAAATTGTTTAGTTTACAGAATATATTGTTAAGTTTGCGGAAAATTTTGTTTAGTTTCTGGAATATATTGTTAAGTTTACGGAATATTTTTTTTTAATATTCTGTTTAGTTTACGGAATTAATTGTTCAGTTTGTGGAATATTTTGTTTAGTTTCTCGAATATTCTGTTTAGTTTCCGGAATATATTGTTTAATTTACGGAATGTATTATTAAGTTTCCGGAATATTTTGTTTAGTTTCCGGAAAATTCTGTTTAGTTTCCGGAATATATCGTTAAGTTTACGGAATATATTGTTTAGTTTGCGGAATATTTTCTTTAGTTTATGGAATGCATTGTTAAGTTTCTGGAATATTTTGTTTAGTTTCCGGAATATTCTGTTTAGTTTCCGTAATATATTGTTTAGTTTACGGAATATTCTGTTTAGTTTCCGTAATATCTTGCTTAGTTTACGGAATACTCTTTATAGTTTACGGAAGAGAAGTTGGGAAAAGCTGAAAGAACAGACCTAGATCCACATCTAGTTCTGCTGGAACAGAAAACGGATAATTGCAAGGTAGGATTTAGGAAATGTAAATATGTTTTTTTGATAATGTACTGAAGATTGTTTACTTAGTAATGTACTGCAATTTGTTTACTGCAGGGGTACACGGAAAAGATTAAGAATAATGCGGCAGCTGTCCTTGTTCCAAATCCAGGTATTTATTCATTCAATCATCTATTCTTCCTTTTATCCATCTATCCTTTCATC